GTGAGTATCAACCATTATCCACCTTTTCTATGAGCAAGACAGACCAGCTTGTCCATGAAGCTTCCTCATTGCATATCAAAGCTCTAACGTGAAGATTCGCCAGTCACTGGACAGCACATCCCACTTTAGTGTGGCTAAAAGTTCTCATGGCTGTGCCTGGAAACTTCTCAGTGATACACACAGGTTGCCAATACACAAGCCGAGACGAGAAGTGAAATGACTTACTAGATTTGTGATCTATGATGAAGTTTTCAGGTTTGTGGTGATTAAATCAATCCATATACAAAGTAGTTAAATTAACATCAAAAAGCTTATTTGCATCTAATTAATAAGATATTAATATACAATCTAATAATATTAACCTAAAAATGAATGTCTAGCACTTATTTTTTTAAGTTTTAAAATTTACGTGTACTATCTTTACAAAGGGGTTTTCGTTTCACATGTCAGCTTGTGGGGTACAAAACATCTTAATATCATTCCTTTTTTTCATTTGCTGCCCATTTCTTCCAACCTCATTCATTCTCTCTACCTGGTTTGATATTCACAGATGTGCATTGCATATTATGAGTGCATTCACCCACCCTTCCTTTCTCTATTCATCTTCCCTCCCTTCCTTAGACCTCACTCAGCCCCAATGATACATGTTTCTGCTTTCTGGTATTCATTCTGATAAACTTTCAGTCAGTTGTTTGAAGGAATTATACCATTGCATTCCTTCCCTGCAAATACCATGCTTTAGTTGGTATGTTTGTGTGTAGATGTGCATAGAACTTGTATAAACTTGCATACGTGCTTATAATTTAAATCTAGCTTCCACATACAGATATGAGAGACAATGTGTTCTTTGTCTTTTTTTTTTTTTGGTCAGTCATGTGGCTTGAACTCTGGGCTTGGGTGCTGTCCCTGCTTAAGCCACAGTAGTACTTCTGGTTTTCTAGTGGCTTTATTGGAGATAAGAGTCTCACAGACTTTCCTGCCCGGACTGGCTTTGAACCGTGATCTTCATATCTCAGCCTCATGAATAGCTAGGATTGTGAGACACTGGCACCCGGTTGTTCTTTGTCTTTCTGAACCTGACATTTCACTTAACATTATTTTTTCCAAAGTCATCTATTTCCCTGCAAGTGACATAATGTCATTCTTCCTGATGAGTGAGAAAAATTCCTTTAACTCTATGTCTATCTTCTATCTGTCTGTCTGTCTATCTATCTATCTATCTATCTATCTGTCTGTCTGTCTGTCTAGATCCATTCATTCAGTGAATCTGGGCTGCTTCTATAGCTTGGCCATGGTGAATAGCATAGCAATGAATATAAGTGTACAAGTGTCTTCACTGTAGACTGACCTGTAATCTTTTGGAGGAATGCCCAAGCATGGAAGTACTGAATTACAGGGTAGAAAACTTTATATCCACAGGGCAGAAGACTGGAAATAGATTCCTGTCACCTTATACTGATATCAATTCAAATGGATCAAAGACCTGAATGGAAGACCTGAAACTATGAAACTACTATAGGAAGAAGGAGAAAAACATCAGAACTAATTGGCATAAGGGGGAGCGTTATGAATAGAGCTCTATCCAGAGGCTCAGCAAATCACAGATAGAATTGACACATGAGATTGCATCAAGCTAAAAAGTTTCTGCACAGCTTAGGACATAGTTACTAAGCTAAAGGATAGCCTAAAAATGGGAGAAGATGTTTGTCATCTGTACATCTGATAAAGGCCCAGTATGCAGAATATGTAAAGAGCTCAATAAACCAAATCCTTAAAGAATTACTTACTTACTTAATTCTTTTAATCGATCAATAAATGGGCAAATGAGATAAATTGAGACTTTCTAGAAGAAGTAGTAAAAATGGCCAATAAACACATGAAGAAATGCTATATATCTCTGGCCATAAAGGAAATGCAGATCAAAACGACATTGAGATTCTACCTTATACCAGTAAGAATGGGCATTATCAAGAATACAGACAGGCTGTGGTATAGGTGTGTGTGTGTGTGTGTGCACGCGTGTGCATGTGTGTGTGTGTGTGTGTGTGTGTAGAAACCCCTAATATTTTGTTGGTGGAAAAATAAACTTGTTTGACCACTCTGGAAAGCAATGTGGAGGATGACCCCTCAAAAAACGAAGCACAGCTTCTGAGGTTTAAACACAATAAACTGTGTAGGTGGACTTTAGTATTCATCAAACTATATAAACAAAGTCTATAAGGAAATGCAGTGTGCCAATACATGTTGGGCATTAGCCATGGTCAAAGCATGAATTGAGACAAGTCAACCACTGACTCCTGACCTTGGTCATGGCTTGTATTGGAATTCTCTTATGAGTAAAATCAGGATAGTACATAGAGGAATTCCAAAATATGAAGTGGATTCACTCATTCTTCAATCCATTTATTTTCCTGTCCTTGACTATTTTTTTATTTTGATTCAATTATTTAACCAGCATAGCTACCTAGGAACACAGAACTCTATGAAGATGGAACTCTGTGAAAGAAAACAGATGTGAGTGCATATAGATTTCTATTAAAAAAAAGATTTAGTTAAGAATAATAGTCATTCTCCCCTCTTCCCTGGTCTCCCACTTTTTGGTAATACTGGAGTTTGAATTTAGACCTCCTTTGGGCAGGTGATTCTACCACTGAACCAAACTTCAGGCCCATTAAAAAAAATGCTGTGATTTGTTTTGTTTTTGAGATCATATCAGCCTTTCTGCCTCTGTGCCTGGACTTCAACCTATTTTAAGCTTTCGTTCACAGTTGGGATGAGGAACACACTACCACACCCAGTTTCTTCCATTGAGATAGGGTCCCAAAGACTTTTCAGCCTAAGCTTTCCTGAGACTGTGCTTCTACTGATGTTAACTTCCCATGTAGACAGAATGACCGGCCCATGTCATCTAGTGTAGCAATTGGTCGAGAAGGGATCTCCTGAAGTTACTTTCCTGGGATTGCCTTGAACCATGACCTTCCTGACTCAGCCTCTTAAGTATCAGCTCTCTCTTCTTATTAGCAAGGGGGTAAGGTGGGGCCAAAGGAAGAGGGGTAGATGAATGAATAGGGGAAGGAGAGAAGACCACAGCCAGGAATCATTGTACATGCCACAAAATTAAGAAAAGTAAGGGGAGGGGTAGGCTGAAGCGAGGGGAGAAGGTCAAAAGGGGTGACATTGATCTAGATGAATTGTATTTACAAACTGCTTTACTAAATGGTTTTTCCTTTGTACAGCTACTTAAAGATAATAAAAACACTGGGGAAAAAGCATAAAGGATGCTATTCAAGATCCACTTTCAAATGGCAACCAAATCTGATATTGTAAGAGACATGTGGGCAATGCTAACTTCTAGTACCTGCTCTATCCAGTGCTTGCTTGGTCATGATTCTGTAACTGCAAAAGGTCCAGTTCTGGTACTGTCCTCGATTGCCAATAATGCAAGAAGACAAAGTGCTGGGGTGAGTGAGGAGAGAGAATGAGCTGTATCGGCAGTGGTTGAGCAAGTTGGAAGGTGGGGAATTTGCTCCTAAGCAGCCATCTTGCTTAGCCGTCACTGAGATAAAATTGCATAGGGATTTGGGGAGGTATATTTTCCATCTTGGACAGGTGGTAAAGGTCTGCTTTCTTAATATGCCTTCTATTGTTTCCTGAAGATGACTGAATGTCCTGGTTCTGTAACTCTAAAGGAAGGTTACTGATCAGGAAGCCCCTATTTTCTAGGAGTAACTAACCTTGACAAGAACAAGGGACGAGAGCAGAAGGCAGCTTTCCCAGAGCACAGTTTTATTTTGTTAGGCAGCTTCATTCAGGGGATCGGGAGATGAATCATTTATTTTAGAGCCATGTGACCTCTAAAATCAGTGATTTTTAAAGTCAACTCCAAAGAAAGTAAAGCTGGAGGGTTTAATTAGGTTTCTTCTGTTATGATTGATGTTGCATTATGTGCATAGGAAACTGACTTTGATGATAAAGTGAAACAGATGTAGTCTAACTGTTCTCCTTCTTCAATTTGTTAGACAGGCCACAGCTCTTTCTGATGCATGTGTATTTATAGTTAAGGAGAAATCACTTGAACAGAGTGGCTTGGTTGACTCTGAGCAGATCCTTCCAGGTAGAATGGTAACAAACCAGACCTGTATTCCTTCCATGTAAAACACTAATATGTACCAACACTGACACAGCACAGCAAACACATATAACAGTACAATGAAGTAAACACTGGATGGAATCAGAACATTAAAATCAATAGTTTTCAGTAGAAATTACTTTGAATTCCTTTCCTCAAATGCAGTCTTACCTGAAATCTCAATTGGGAGACATGTGCAGAAGACATTGTTCTTGCTGACATAGTAAAAGTCCTAGAGTTCAGTCCAGGAGTCCTGAACTACTGTGGGGCTACTCTGTGAGGTCAGAGAAAGGAAATAATAGTAATTATGACAGCACAGTGCCTCAGACTTTGCTGTATGGAATCAAACTCAAAGCACTTGAAAGAACCTTGGCAAGCTGCAGTCTGGAAATCACAGTGTAAATGCCTTTTGTGTCCTATGTATACCATAAACACATCTCATTTGATAGGGAAGGAAGAAGAGGCTCTGAGGCTCCTCCTGAAAGTCCTTTCCTGGCTACAGCCCCTCCAGCTCAGGATGGCTAGCACACAAACAAATCATCCGTGACTAAATTCATGGTCCATTTAAACCCTTGATTGAGTTCTATTGCTTCTTAGTGTAGAGACCAGGAAATAGCAATCTGTAAGATTAAATGATTATATTTAAAATCTCTTTCTTTTCCCCCCAAGTCTTCATGTACTTCTTTTAAATTTTTTAAAAAATTTTGTATTGTAAAAATACCATACAGAAGGGTTACAATTACATGGGCAAGGTAATGAGTACATTTCTTATCAAGCATTGTTGCCTCCTCCTTTGTTTCCCCTTTCCATCCCCCCCCAGCCAAAGTTGTAAAGTTCGTTTTTCTTTTCTTTTTTCTTTTTTGCCAAACAGTGACAGCAATACCGGTCACCTTTTATTGAGCAGTAATTGTCTCAGAATGTGAAAGGACTCCGCTGTGATTAAGTTGACGGATGGGAGCCAGGCCAGACAGCATCCATCAAGAATGCAGGTAGCCTCATGGGCTCTTCAGTGGTACTTGCGATGCCTTTCATGTTTAAGCTCCCTGAAGCAATGGCAGGAGTTGAAAAGTACATAGTAAGCCAGCACCATGTTGACCCCAGCGATGCTCCCTTTCTTCGCATTGATGTACTTGTTGAAGTACCGGTCATAACCTCTCCAAAATGCTCCGGCAATGCCTTTTGGGGTGAAGTCCCGCACCAAAATCCTGTTTGGCAGCTCTACTAGTTTGACATCCATTAGTTTCTTTTCCTTCAGTGGTACTATTGACGCCATCTTGGAGTCCTGCTCTAAAGTTTTTTTTTCGACATAACGACTTGTACATTTCATTGTTGCAGTGGGTCCACCTGTATCCCTATTCAAACAGTTTGTTTTTGCCCTTCCCCTCCACAAATTATACCACCATCAAATACAATTTAAGCAGGGACTATACTATGGGGGAGGGACATACAAAGCAACAAAGAAATCATCTTATAACTATGTTAGAAGAATCACAAGAAAGAAAAAAAACATTTGAATACTTTTCTTGGGGTTCATTTCACCTAACATCGACTTATCTGACCTTAAGTCTTCATGTACTTCTTTTAATTTTTGACGAGAGAAAGAAATCTCAATCTTTTTGTGAGAAACCACTTTTAGAACACAACTCCTTCAATCAAGGAATAGAAAACTCTGTCTAGTTGTTGGCGGAAGTTCTTAAGTGCTTGCTGTTAATGAGTGTCCTCATCTCTGTGTTCTGGGATGAATGATTGAGACTGGCATTGATCTGCCAGCTTGGCTATTGATCATCTTTGTATGAATGGCAGGAATTAGAGGCATCAGATTGGGATGGGATCTGGGGTCAGAGGGTAAATAAATGAAGAGAGAAAAGATGGAAGAATGTACTGACAATATTTGATGTTCATATATGAAAACAGAACTAGGGAAATTGAAGGGATAGGTAGATTTGGGAGGTATGGGGGAGAACGATGATCAAGATACATGATACTCCTAAACAGATATGTTGAATTGACACCCCTTGTAGAACTTCTTTAAAATGGTAATATTAACAAAAGAATTCCTATGCAGGCCCTTGCCTATGCTTGTCTAGGTAACATGGAGCCAACAAGATCCTTTAAAGAATGATCATTGTCCTCCATTTTTATCTGGAAGGGTCTGTGTTGGCATCATTGTTGCTTCATGGAGGTCTGAAGACCACAGTCTTCTACATTTACAACAGTTTTATATAGTCAACAGGTTAATGCATACTATGATATATGTGGCCCCTGACAGAATATTACAGGTATTAGAATTTAGAACTATTTAATTAGGATTTTGTTCTCGTGTTCTTCTTTATATATAAGAGTTGAGTTAAGGATTTTGTTAATTAATTGATATAAAGGCAGAGTAGATCAATAACTCAGCATAGGTGAGTTGCAGGTAGCCTCTTAATTTCAAAAATTTATTGCATGCTTTTACATTCGGGGTTGATTCAAGAAGATTCTTCCTAGTTTACCTGGAATGACCAGGGAAGAGAATTTTAATTTCAGCTTTTGTATATAATGAACTATTGCCTTGTGAAGATACTTCATTGTTTTAAGAGGAAAAAAAGAGATTTGAATCTGTAGCACTCATTCTATTTCTTCTATTTCATCAAGAACTTACTAACGTGGTTTTCCAGGTTTGACACTTTAAACTCTTCTTATTTTAAGAATCTTTGGTCTTTTCCGAGTCACCAACAATTATAAGATGTCCTTCCTCTAAAACCAGATATTCTCTTCCTTCTTAGTAAGCATATCTTTCAAAAAATGGATTAGCCAGCACCACAGACTTCACAAGATTCCTGAATCCATACGTGAACTATTATCTCAACGGCCTAAGGCAAACAAATGTTTTAGACACTTGCTGAAAGGCAAGGACTGTTGTCTTGGCTGAAGTCCTGCTCCAGATCCTACAGCGAATCATCTAGGGAAACAGGGAAGGTGAAGCTGGACTTCTCCAGACTTCCATTGTAGTGTGAATGCTCATCTCGTAGCACACATCGTTTCTTCTGTTTAGAATATTTCCTTCAGCGTGTCTGTCTTACCCCTTCGCCTGTGATGTTCTTCCTTCATGAGTTATTACAACTTTCCTATTCACTGGGAGACCCAGCATGTCATCGAGTATACTACTTCTTTTTTTATTTACAAGAATGCCATAGATTATTACTTAAGAACAAATCAGCTTTTGTCAAGATGCAATCATCCTCTATGGATGAATTTATTCACTGAGCCAGATCAATAACTAAGTGCCCCAGTTTAGTAAGTGGGAAAAACTGATATATACTTATGACTAACATTTTGAGGTGGCCTTACTATGCAGTCACAGAGTCCTTCTTAAGAACCGAAAAGTAAATTTCTCCTGGGCTGGCATAGTGAATTGTGAGCTGTCTAACTTCTTTAGATTATCTATCCAAAACCACATGTATGGCATTTCTTACAATCAACTTTCAGATGCTACTGGAATGTTCTCAGGCATAAAAAAGTCCTTCATTTTAAATTATTTATGACTTTTGGTTCAAATATCCTCAAATACCCCATAAACTTTTCTTTCCCTTTAGGAATTAGATATAAAAACATATACTGAAATGATAGTTTATGTAAATAGATGTCTGTTTGTTGGTGTATTTTTTATAAATAAGCTTTCTTAAGGAGAAAAGGCATAAGTGAAATAGAAATAAATTAAAGCAAACATTCCCAATTAGATTTTTAAAAATCATTTCCTTAAATTTTCTAGGTAGCTTATTCATGATTCTTCTCTGAGAGGTGTGTTGAATAAATTATATGCATTTTATGTTGCTCTTAGGACTAAACGTTTCTGAAGGACTTTGTATTCTCTCAGAATAGATTGGTTTTAGTAATTAAAATTCTTATTTATGGTTTAATAATCAAAGTTCCCACTTTCTAACCCTTCTTTCTGTTAGCTTCAGTTTGGGACACAGATAAAGAGATTGAGACGAGCCAGGCTTTTCTCTCCTTTCCACTTACAATTCCTCCTCTACTTTCTCTAACCTCCACCTTTATTATGGATTCTTAGCCATATGCTTAAAGCTTTCTCTCTAGCTATAATACAGCAAATTTGATACAGAATGGAGGACAGTATTGGACAGAATATTTCTCCGTTGTATGGTCCAACTGTGAACTGACATTTATATTTCTGAGTCATGACAAGTTTCTTTTGTCAGACCCTTTAAGTTCATCTTCTGTCCAGTTGTCTATCATGCACATAACCTCCTATGACCAATATGCATCTCCATCCTCCATTTCTGCCATGACAGTGTTAGGAGTGGCTTCCTGTCCTTTAGTTTCCTTAGGGCTGATTGTCAGTGTGTTCATGAATTCTCTCAGGGACACTGACTGGTTTCCTTGAAGTGCCTTTTTCTTCTAAATGCCCCCTTCACTTTCAAGACACACATTGTGGCATCCTATCTTCCCGCTGGTGCATCAGCAAGAGTCCATTTAATGTATTTGCAACCCTCAAGGCAATTCTTACTTTTATTATATAAACAATGAACTAATTTTTTCCGCTTTCTTGCTGGGTATTACAATTTACACACACATACACACACATTTGCTATAACTAGTACAAGTAGAGTCATGTAGATGTGGTTTTTGATGAGAAAGAACACTCATTCTGGAGACATGCTTTGGTTTGAACTCTGATCCTGGCAGTTCCAAGCTCCTGGACCTTTGACAAGTTATTCATGCTTTCTTTGAGTCCATTTTTTCCCCAGTTCAAATGCAACGTTATAGTGGTATTGAGCTCCATGCAGTTACTGTCAAGAGTTCATGAGTCTACTGTCTACTCCTGCAAATTTCATCAATATACTCTGGATAGCCAATGGTCCAAGTGTTGGCTATAATTATTATCATCTCCAATATTAGATGGAGGAAGAGGAGGAGGAGGAGGAGGGGGAGGAGGGGGAGGAGGAAGAAGAAGAGAAGAAGAGGAAGAAGAAGAAGAAGAAGAAGAAGAAGAAGAAGAAGAAG